ATACTATTTCATCCTTCCACAAGATATAGCCCTGACACAAATCTAGGGTTGCTACCCAGGCCGGCTGGTCGTTCGTTCTATTGGTTCGGTTGCCAGAGACGCAACCCAGTCTTTCGTTCTAAACGTTCCATTGTCATACCGGTTGGCAATGTTCTTATTCCTTGCTTGCTAGCCAACTACGGCTAATTTACGGTCACGTAAAACAGTGCGGCCAGAATAACAGCAAATAGCTGCATTTGTGTTTGTTTAAGCTGTTTTCTAGTGACATTTATTTGGATACATCCATAACAATGAGCTAATGAGGCGCGATTACGCCTGGCATAGAAAATGTGCTCACTCGTGTCGTGTATTAGGATTATGCCTTTGTTAAATGTTTTCATGAAGAAATGGAATGTTGTTTATGTTAGGTCAAATGTGGCGTTTGTGGGGTGACGCCCCAGGGGAGACTGGTGATTGGCCAGAAGAGGGAGCACCCATCTTTTTGCATTGTTTATAAGTAGGGGCTAGACAAAGAAAGGGCAGAGCGACCATTGCAATCCGGGCCGTCGCTCTCCGGATGTCATGACATCTGTCACTTATGCTGAAGCTTGTGATATGAATAAACCTTATGATCCAAGTTCAGTATGAGCGGACTCCTTTGCAGTGGCGGCTCCTGAAAAAATTCTCAGGAGGGGCAATTTTTCTGATGATTTAGGTGACCTACACACATTTAAAAAAAGATATGTCCAGCAACAACATGAAGACAGGGGCAGCATATAAGTCAATACCAGAAGCATTTATTGACTGATCTCAAAAGTGTTGGCTTACCAGGGTTGGTGGAGCCCTCAGTTTCATCTTTGCCTCGCAAAGCTAACTCAAACACTCCGCAAAACTTCACACACTGGATTAGCCGGCTGAGGATGTGGCGGTTCTTGCTAATGTCGTAGTAAATATATTTGTTATAGTGAATATGGAATATGATATGTTGAGTAAAATGTTGTGCTAAGATCTATTTAGGTCAGGAGCTGGTTATAAGTTCTGTTCCTATCCAATAACAATGGACAAAAGGGTCCTATCTTGTCAGCCTTGTCAGCAGGTGGCCAAGGACAACACCCACGCCATAGGCCTCTCAGTTCTTCCAACTCACGAGTTCTTGCTCTGAGGACACACACACACACACAAACACACACACACACACATCATCACTGTTAAACACACACACACACACACACACACACACATCATCACTGTTAAACACACACACACACACACACACACACAAAAATCCCCTCTCTTAGGCTGAACATTTGAAGACAGAGAACCCGACTCAGAGCCAATGCAACAGTGACAGTAGCCTGCAGGGGACCTCGCCCAACTCATCAGGACCAATCAGAAGATCAGAACTACTAGATTGAACCTACTTCATTTATTGCATAAAATGTCTGCACACAATGTTTCGGGGCTCTCTTCAGATAATAATAATAATAATAATAATAATAATAATAATAATAATATGCCATTTAGCAGACGCTTTTATCCAAAGCGACTTACAGTCATGCGTGCATACATTTTTGTGTATGGGTGGTCCCGGGGATCGAACCCACTACCTTGGCGTTACAAGCACCATGCTCTACCAGCTGAGCTACAGAAAGTGGATACTCATGGATGCGCATTGCAATTGTAAAATGTCAACACAATTGGAGACACCACGTCATTTTTGGAGACATGTTATTGACAGTAAACTATTGTAGATGCGACTGCTAACTAACTAAAACATTTTAGCTGGCTAGCTAATCATCTTAGCTAAATGTGGGGCAAACAATTAAGTTATTTACCGTTAATTTGAGGGATTGGGGTGAAAGAAATCGAGTTACATAGTGATACTTTACGATATACTGTATTGACAATATCGCAATATTTTAGCGCTAGTTGGCTGTACCTGCACCAAAACACCATTATTGTTCCTTCATAGCTTGTTCTCAATCTTTTCACATTGGGAGCCAATTTGTTTTCAGCACTTTTATTTCCATGACTGATCAAAACTCGTTCTCATGGCTTTCTGATCCCTCTGCAACAGACATATGGTGCGCAATAAAATCACAGTATCGAATCGCAATACGTATAGAATCATGAGACTCGCAATGCTGATGCATATATCTTATCGTGAGGTTCCTGGCAATTCCCAGCCCAAGTTCATTTTTAAGAGTTTGACGAACGGGTCCGTGAACGTGATTCCAGATATATTTACCTCTGAATAAACTGCCTTTATTACACCATATCCACATCCAGTAAACTTGTGATTATCAACACTAACCTCATCGTTGTGGCGGCGGACAGCTAGCCTGTATCCCTCGTCATCCAGTTGAGTGAGTGGCAATGTCTTTTTTCGTTCGTACCAATTTTTGGAAAATCCTCGGGTGTAGGACTTTCCGCATTTAGTAGAAACCTGTTGAATTATTAAATTTGGTCTGGGAGGTCCTAATTGTTTCGTTGCCAATTTATCTTCATTTGTTCGCCGACAAAAAGGAACTTCTTTCAAACAATCCACTCTTTTCTCAGTTACGTTCATGGTTACGTAACGTATGACGAAAGCGCGTAAGTGCAAGCCCACAGACACCCATTGAGATTGTATTGAAGGCTCTGAAATTTGAAAAAAATAGATTTTACATGGGAGTCTATGACAGAAGTTCTGGGCGATTTTCAATCTGACTGAAATCGCCCCAAAAGGGGGTGGAGCCATTTGAAGCACGACTTTAGCCTGATTCGACATTTAGTGGCAGTGTGGCACTGTGGCAGATCAGACGTATAGATTACAACACTGATAACTACTGTTGCCGTGATATAATTGATTAGAAAAAAAATCCCTTCCTTTTCCCGTTTGGCAGTGCGTCGCCCATATCGCCCTATTGAACAGGCCGTCCCTGCTCCTTTGTTTATCAGCAATAATTGCCAGCACTTACGCGATACGACACTCGTCAGGACACGGTTGTTCAGAAGAGTTAGCCAACAACACAGCTAACACAATCACTTCAAACTGAAGCTGGAAAGACTGCAAACTAGCTGCATTTCGTTTCGTTGTACCTTTTTTCAATTGAAATGTATTTGTATATATCCATAAAAATGAAGCCAGCTGATCCATGATTTCGACTGGCTGAGAAACGCTGCCTGCCTGTCTGTCTTTTCCCGACATGTTCATTACTATGGGACAGCTGGAGCTTGAATTTGAATGTTGAAACAATGTTGCAAATGTCAGAGAGACAGACAGCAAGGTTTATACAAATCTCCGCTGTTGAAAACTAAATGTTAGTCTAAAAGAAATGTGAGATAATGTCTAGATGCTTTTTATAGTGGAGATCAAGTTTATAAAGTGCCTGGCTGGGCTGATGAGACAGTGGACCACTGGCCATGGCAGAACACTGACATTCCTGTCTTGCAGGAAATCATGTGGATAGGCTAACGTCATAGATTTAGCTGGTAATTTATGGAATAGACACCGGCTGGAATGTGGTTTTAACCAACTCAGGTTTAGACCCACCCAATGGAACATTTAGGGTGCGTAAATTCACTCTGGCTATCTACTCCGATTTCAGAGCACTCTCGTCTGAGTGTGCCAGAGCGCAGAATAACTGATTAATTTATGAACTCTCAACACCAGCTGAATATGGCTGGTGTCAGTAAACGTCGGCAAAAAAAGCGTAATTAAGGGTGCCTTTGTAAATCCAATTTGGAGTGCCAGAGTGCGCTCAGAATGCCCTCTGGGCGTTCGTAAATTCAGAGCTTTGTCAGATTGTCCGTTAGTATATTCAGAGCGTTTCGCTCTCGGAGCGTTCAGAGAGAACACTGGACGCTCTGGCCGAGGAGCAGGGTTGATCCGAGCGTTCTGGCCTCAACGGCAGTCAAGCACCCAAGCTAACGTTGGCTAGCTTGCTAGCTACTTCCAGATACAAATGAGAGAACACCTCACTCGCCCTAGCAGAGCTGGTTAGGCTGTTATCCAGAGCGTTGGTGACTGCAACTGCTGCTGGCAACAATTGAATTAAGCTTTTATGCCGACGTTTACTGACAATGGCCATATTCAACGGGTGTTGAGCGTTCGTAAATTCGTCAGTTATTCTGCGCTCTGAAATCGGAGTAGATAGCCAGAGTGAATTTACGAACGCACCCTAAATTGTTGCCAGCAGCACAGTTAGTCACCAACGCTCTGGATAACATGAAAACTGCCTAACCAGCTCTGCTAGGGCGAGTAAAATGGTCAATGAGGTGTTCTCTCATTTTTGTCTGGAAGTAGCTAGCAAGTTAGCTTGGGTGCCGTTGTGAGGTCAGAACACTCGGATTAACCCTACTCCTCCGCTAGAGCGTCCAGTAGCGCTCTGAATTTACGAACGGACAATCTGACAACGCTCTGAATTTACAAACGCCCAGAGCGCACTCTGGCACTCCAGATTGAATTTACGAACACACCCTAAATCGCGTCCATAGATACATAACAAAAAGACTGAACGACTGGGTCACGCCTCTCGCAACCGAACATATAGAACGAACGACCAGCCGGCTTGGGTAGCAACCCTAGATTTGTGTTGGGACTATATCTTGTGGAAGGATGAAATAGTATGAATAAATTCCTCAAAATAACGTTTTTAATTTAAAATGTCAATCATTATTTGAATATGTCGGTCCTTGTATAAAATTGATAATGCCCTCGAAGCCAGTGTTTGGAGGATATATTGGCAGGGTTTGCCGGCCATCGACGAACAACACCCTTGCCAATATCCTCCAAACACCGCTTCTCGGGCATTGTCACTTAAATGATAGACCCAGTGGAATAATCCATTGAAAATATGCCTTCCGAAGAGTATAATTACTATACTGCAGACTATAATATGTACCTCTACTCTCCTGTCCGTCAAATACTGTAGGCACTGCCGTTTCCATGCCAGACTTCTGTTGGCAGCATCAGAGGGGTACATGACAGTGGCTCCTGCATTGACAGACATGCAGAAGCTATAAAAAGACAAAAACAATCCATTCCAACCTCTCTGAGTTTATTAGAGATGATACAGCGTTGGTCTTTGTTTTGTAGTTTTTACAAAATAAACAGAAAACAAAACAAGACAGCAGCTCCTATTAAGACGGACAGTCACAGGCAGAGACATATACCCTCTCTTTTTCTCTCTCTCTAGCTCATCCTCCTCTCTCTACACAGCTCTAAACTGGCTGGGTACCTATGTGAGAGATGGGGAAAGTGCACGTTAAAGTGTGTGGTTTCTCTGTAGACTTGTGGGGCCTATAGTAGACAGCTTGTTTATCAGAATGTACTCCAATGGCCTCAGCTCTGGGGTAGTGGAATGCACAGAGAGTCTGGAGGAGATGTGGCCTGTGATTAATACACTACATCCATCCTACGGCACAAGCCTCTGTCCAGAGCACTACAGTACGCTGTCTGGTTTAGTCAATGTCTATTCTGTCACATTTCCCCCCCACACCCACCCACCCAAAATATACAACAGATTTAAAATGTACAATGTTTTACAATCATTCTTCTGAAGAAATGAGAAGTGTGTGTGTGAGCTTGTGACCACACGCATGTTGCCGGGCTCATTCATGCGCTACAGGGCCACAGGATATCCTGTGAGGTCAGTTCTTGTTAAAGAGTGGGGTGAGATGACATTAGACCCCCCTCTCAGTCTACCAGACCCTGGCGTCAGTCAGTCTAACCGGTTGCAGGCTTAGACAAGTCCTCTACTTTCTGGATGAAGACAATGTGTGCGACTGCAAGGTGAAAGAGCGAGGGTTGTTTCAGCAGTCCAACTCATGAACTCCCTTATTAGAGGCCATTATTCCACCCATGAGGTTTGGTTGCTACAGTGGCGCTTCGGAGTCCATTGTCCTGATAGGGGGCTGTCCCCCCGCCTTCTCACCTCGTTCACCCTCTGTAGTGACTGGTGTTGGTGTGGGTGAACAGGGCCCTCTTCCCCCCGGGCCAGGCCGGGTGGGCCAGTGCTCCATTCCAGACTGTGGTTCCAGTCTCAGCTCCAGCTGGAGCTCTGCAGCTCCTCTCTCAGCCAGACGGGCAGGGGCTGGCCCAGCCGGTTCAGCAGCCTCAGCAGCTCCATGTTGTGCTCCCGGTAATGCGCCGTCAGGAAGGCACGCGACTGTAATACACGCAGCAGAGAACAGTCAGGTAAGGACTGTATGAGGCACTTGTTTAGACATATCTACATGACAGAAGTTAAACAAAATGCATCATGGCAAGCTGGCAACAGGGGATAATGTTGCGTGTGTGATGTCACTGTACCTCAGGGGTCATGTCAGGGTATTTCCTGCCTTTACTCTTGCCCAGACACTTGGGTCGTCCACCTTCCACCCTCTGGCACCAGAACCCTTTACTTTCATCGTACGTCAGAGCCTGGGTGTAGTTGAAGATGGGTGTGACCCCCAGGAACCTCTGGATGCCCTCCATAACCAGGGCAGGGTTGGATCGCAGCTGGGACCCGTCCACTATGTGCACCTGGAAACAGGAATCACACCTCTCACATTCGGGCCTTCACACAGGTGGTACTGCCATGATCAAGCATGGAAAATACTGTGAAGCCATATTTCAGATTTTGAATTGGTGACTGGGGGTGTCTCCTGTAGTTTTCAGTATCTAGCTGTGCTCGTATAGTATGTGTATGTGTATGTGTATTTCCAGTAAGTGTTACCTGGCTGGGCTGGTAGTGGTGTAGCCAGCGCTCCAGGTGTGTGGCGTAGGCCCCAGGTTTAAGGCAGCGTCTCTGCAGAATGAGCAGCTCTCGGGGGGAGGCAGGCCCCGCTGTCACCACCTCCTGGAATGTGTGGTTGATGGCCATTGGGTCCTGATGAGCCCGCTGGTGCTGCAGGGTCACACACAGGGGAAAGGTCAAAGGTCAGCCATCATGAGTCAAAGGTTATCAGAGGTCAGGCTTCAGAGGGATCAAGTAACAAGATAACATTGACCTACCTTGCTTGTTAAAGTAACATAGTAACTACAAGCAAATAAACCTCACAGGTGAAGCTAAAATAAAAACAGATGACTCTACATCCAGCAGTATCTTCAGCATGTGTGGTCACTTAACGGTCAAAATGGTCTGGGAACAGTTTATATTTCATGACCCTAATGGTTCATATTATGGCTGAGGTAGTTAGAGCTGATCCTGAACATTGGTAAATCTGATCAGTGTAGTGCGATAGACCCACCTGGTACCAGGAGTAGGCGCGGTCCGCTGGGTTGATGAGCACAGCCAGGATCTTGGCCCTGGATAGCAGGGCCGCCGCTCTCTTAGGGGCCACCTCCGTGTCAAAGTAATTGGCACTTTTCTCAAATATGAAGTCTGTGCTGACATTCGATGGGAAGGGGTAGAAGTCCATGTACCTGAAAAGAGGAGGGGGGAGAGCAGTTTGGTTTACCGAGGGCCAGTGGAGAGCTTATGACATAAAATGTCCCAATAACTTTGAATGGCTTCCTGCGCCATGTCCCTTTCCACCTAGGACCAAATAGACCATACTGTTATTTGTTCTCACTGATATGAGAGAACTAGATAAGAGAGCAATATGGAGGAAGACTAAACTACAAGTAAGCATGACGGAACTACACAGAGGCAATGTTGAGGTGAGGTGGCAACAGGCTTCATTAGAGTGTTTAAAGAATGGGCAGTAATGTTGTCTTACCAGTCAATGCCGTTGTCGTAGTTGGGTCCGCTAAAGAACTGGATCTCCTCAAAGGTGACAGGACTGGGGAAGCTACTGGTGATGGCAGGGTGGAGGCTCAGGAACGAGTGCAGGGCTGTGGTGCCTGAAATAACACATATGAATACACTTTTGGTTAGACTGAAACTCACCACCACAAATGCCATCATGCTACACATTCTGGCCAAGAGAGAGTGTGCGAAGAGCGAGAGAGGTTATGTCGGAGGAGAATGGCCGGCCACAGGGTCTCACCTGTTTTCTGTGGGCCTATGACCAAGAACCTGGGTAGTCTATCACAGGTCTTTTCCTTCGACCAGATGTCTTTATGCCTCTTGTCTTGACATGGGTTCTGAGGACAGATAGAGGGGATCGATTAGGGTCTCCAATATATATAGCTCATCAGTAAGTAATTTCATTGCAAACTCAAATAAAATGATAGGCCAAACTTAAACTAAAATAGGAAACAGTAACTAACAACCAATGCATTACCATGTCTATAATAATAATTGATAATTGCAGTTCCCTAACCTGCCAGAGGGGGTCTCTCTCCTCAGGGAAGGTCTGGAAGTATTTGTCAGCCAGCTGCATTGGGGGCAGGGTCTGCAGCCGCAGGTTGGTCCAACACTGAACAAACTTCACCAGGGACTCAAAGGTGTACAGGCCCAGCCGGTCATTCCCATAGTTAGACAGGTGGGTCATGAAGATGCTGATCTGTGGGGGGGGGGGGGGGGGGGGGGGGGGGGGGGGTTAGAGGACCATCCAACAGGTGAGTAGGAAAGTGAGACTTTTCACTGTCTGTTCGTTACAATTCCATTTCCCAAGTTAAGATTCTTCCAGATAGAGCAGCGGCCTGAAATAGGTAGCAGCTCCAGTAATGACAGGGAGAGTATCTCCAGAGCAAACTAGAACTCACAGGGTTGAGGAGGACAGTGAGGAACAGCTCCCCTCCCCTGATGCTCTTGTCCAGCTCTTTGGATCCACCTGGGTACTCGTTATAGAAGATAGTGTGAGTGAAGAGGCCACATGTCTGTCTGGGTAACACCTGCAGAGACAGAGGGAAACTGTCAAAAAGAAATCAAAATAACCAACTTGCCTTCTCTCCACTTTAATAATGAATAGGGGCTTTGCACCTTTGTATAAACTCTAAGCCCTTGAGTGCGCTCAGTAAGCACTGAGAGGCAAAATCCTCTTCTGCTTAAATCATATTTTCACTTTCATCATTGATGTCAATGGGAGATGAAGTGAAAATTCGACTTAAATTGAAGTTTAAAGTAACTGCCAGTGAAAATCTCACTTTTAAAAGTTCATACTCAGTCAACTTATACCCAAATAATGTTGTTGACGTCTATAGCCTACACCTTCACAATAAATCCATTATTTATTTTAGACAGGTCTAAAGAAGCATGATATTAAAAAAATGTAGTCTATTTCAGAAGAACAGAATAGTATACTCTGAGTTGTCCTTATGTTAGGTCCTTATCTGGCTATACCAAATGGCTGTTGGCTACACTAGTTCATTTAGCAGACAAAATTTGCTTAGAATTCCGTGGCATTATTTTATAGTATGAAGAATTCAACCGAACAAAGCTGAATAAAATAGAAAGGATATTTTCTCCAAACGATTTGAGGGAGTGCGCACATGCGGCTATTCTGTGTTGATCGGTTAACAAAGAAATAGGTATGCCTATATTCTTAATTTAGAGTTATTCATGTACAGTGGGGAAAAAAAGTATTTAGTCAGCCACCAATTGTGCAAGTTCTCCCACTTAAAAAGATGAGAGGCCTGTAATTTTCATCATAGGTACACGTCAACTATGACAGACAAATTGAGAAAAAAAAATCCAGAAAATCACATTGTAGGATTTTTAATGAATTTATTTGCAAATTATGGTGGAAAATAAGTATTTGGTCACCTACAAACAAGCAAGATTTCTGGCTCTCACAGACCTGTAACTTCTTCCTTAAGAGGCTCCTCTGTCCTCCACTCGTTACCTGTATTAATGGCACCTGTTTGAACTTGTTATCAGTATAAAAGACACCTGTCCACAACCTCAAACAGTCACACTACAAACTCCACTATGGCCAAGACCAAAGAGCTGTCAAAGGACACACGAAACAAAATTGTAGACCTGCACCAGGCTGGGAAGACTGAATCTGCAAAAGGTAAGCAGCTTGGTTTGAAGAAATCAACTGTGGGAGCAATTATTAGGAAATGGAAGACATACAAGACCACTGATAATCTCCCTCGATCTGGGGCTCCACGCAAGCTCTCACCCCGTGGGGTCAAAATTATCACAAGAACGGTGAGCAAAAATCCCAGAACCACACGGGGGGACCTAGTGAATGACCTGTAGAGAGCTGGGACCAAAGTAACAAAGCCTACCATCAGTAACACACTACGCCGCCAGGGACTCAAATCCTGCAGTGCCAGACGTGTCCCCCTGCTTAAGCCAGTACATGTCCAGGCCCGTCTGAAGTTTGCTAGAGTGCATTTGGATGATCCAGAAGAGGATTGGGAGAATGTCATATGGTCAGATGAAACCAAAATTGAACTTTTTGGTAAAAACTCAACTCGTCGTGTTTGGAGGACAAAGAATGCTGAGTTGCATCCAAAGAACACCATACCTACTGTGAAGCATGGGGGTGGAAACATCATGCTTTGGGGCTGTTTTTCTGCAAAGGGACCAGGACGACTGATCCGTGTAAAGGAAAGAATGAATGGGGCCATGTATCGTGAGATTCTGAGTGAAAACCTCCTTCCATCAGCAAGGGCATTGAAGATGAAACGTGGCTGGGTCTTTCAGCATGACAATGATCCCAAACACACCGCCCGGGCAACGAAGGAGTGGCTTCGTAAGAAGCATTTCAAGGTCCTGGAGTGGCCTAGCCAGTCTCCAGATCTCAACCCCATAGAAAATCTTTGGAGGGAGTTGAAAGTCCGTGTTGCCCAGCGACAGCCCCAAAACATCACTGCTCTAGAGGAGATCTGCATGGAGGAATGGGCCAAAATACCAGCAACTGTGTGTGAAAACCTTGTGAAGACTTACAGAAAACGTTTGACCTGTGTCATTGCCAACAAAGGGTATATAACAAAGTATTGAGAAACTTTTGTTATTGACCAAATACTTATTTTCAACCATAATTTGCAAATAAATTCATTAAAAATCCTTCAATGTGATTTTCTGGAATTTCTTTTCTCATTTTGTCTGTCATAGTTGACGTGTACCTATGATGAAAATTACAGGCCTCATCTTTTTAAGTGGGAGAACTTGCACAATTGGTGGCTGACTAAATACTTTTTTTCCCCACTGTAACTTCAGTTGTTCTACAAACGTTGGGCTATATGTTTTGATTTTTAATATATTGTAAGGCTGCATGATGCGACTCTAATGATGATTTGAAAAAAGTTGGTTGAAAGGCATGAGCTCTGCTTTGTTTTTTGCGCAGGCTGTACACACTACATCAGTCACTCATTCACAATTTGACAAGCACTTGATAATGCCTAGAATTTCACGGCGGCATCCCCTTTGTGTGGTCGTAATGCACCCAAAGAAAATCCATGCCTTTTGCGCCCATTGGCCATTGTGCCCTTCTGCCTGAGTGCTACGCACTCCATCACGTGATCGGGTCTTTCTCACAGGCTACAAGTGAAGACAGACACATCGGGGACGCAACTGCACGCATCCTTATCCAATAGCGAGGTGCATATTGAAGACATTTCGTCAGCCAACAAGATGAGTATGCCTAACGAACAGCAAAAGCACTAGCCTATGTCAATCTACTATCCCCCATAGTACAAAAGTTGACCTATTCTATTCTGTGCGAGAAATAAATATTCCAAACATAGTCTGGGACAGTTGTGGGATGCGATAGATCCCAAATTAATATAACCACTAGCATCACAAAACATTTTTTACGCAATGTGGCTGACGCAACAGATCAGAACGTTTAGCTTAAGATGTTGATAAACTATTAGGCTATTTCTTCACATTATAAGCGCAGAAATGCGCACATGGTAGTAGGCTATAAGCGCAAAAGTTCCATTAGCGGAAAACACCATTATCAAAAGTGACCGCAAATGCAATTTTATTATAAAAAGGTGCATTTCTATGGTGAAAATTATCTTCCCCAAACTTTTTTATATTTTTATTTCACCTTTATTTAACCGGGTAAGCCAGTTGAGAACAAGTTCTCAAATACAACTGCGACCTGGCCAAGATAAAGCAAAGCAGTGTGATAAAAACAACAGAGTTACATATGGGGTAAAACAAAACATAGTCAAAAATACAACAGAAAATATATATACAGTGTGTGCAAATGTAGCAAGTTATGGAGTTAAGGCAATAAATAGGCCATAGTGCAAAATAATTACAATTAGTATTAACACTGGAATGATAGATGTGCAAACTTGAAACTCACGCGCTGCTTATGTATGCCAGTTAGGCTCTACACCCTTTGTAAAGCGGATTCATATGCTTCATTTTAAGAAGATATTTGGCCACTTCAGTTGTGATATAAACCTTATTAAAACATGAGGTGTGCGACTATGATTCGAAAAAATCAACAAAAACAAAAGGCATTGTTTCTTATGCTGGGCATCATTCTCAAGTGATAATATATAATTCACAAGTGATAGGCTACTGTTGTCACCCATCAGACTATTCTTGATTTAATCTTGTCTTTACATTTACTAAATAATATATGTGTGAAATTTGTTTTGATTTAGAATGGACCATTATCATGCACCTGTATCGAAACAGGGGCAGCAGGAAATAAATACATGTCATCTATGCACTTAAATAGCGAATAGAGGACGCTTTTCCCCATGGTTTATTTTCATGCCAGCCAGGTAGGCTATACTCCTGTTGTAAATATAGGCAATGTGCTTAATATTAGGAAAGTTGAGAAATAAATATAGTAGGCCTAGCCTATAGAAAGCTGATGGGATCCTCCTCTTTTTAGTAGAGGCCATCACTCTGTTTTCTCGCACAATTGCATAGCCTATAGAAATGTTGCGCAACATAAGCTCATGGGCTCTCATTAAGTGTTTGATTAGATTTTTGAATACATTTGCATTGATGTCAGAGTGATTAGAGGGACAATAGAGTGCTGAGTACCAGGCAGTTAGCAAGTTTTGTAGGCTACTAATGACCAGCAGCAGCATTAGAGCTTGGAGAAACCTAATTACCGCATGTGGAATTTCACTGCCTTCATGACTCGTGACCGCCGGTGTGGCTGTAATACAGTCACCGCAACAGCCCTAATACGAGCTCACTGCACACAAGCAAGCTAGCTAGCAAGCCAAGCAATCCACAGCTGGTGTTAGAAAAAAGGATAAAGCCTATGCAACAACTATCTCGCTAGTCACGTCTATTTAAAATTATGTGGTTTGTAAGAGTTGGCCTGCTGGTTGTTTAGAAGAAGTTAGCTAATGTTATTTTTATTTATTTTTTATTTATTTTTTCGGGGGGAATGGATCAGCTTAATATTGCAGATAGATTGTATCTTCTATCAATGTAATTGTCTGCATCACTTCCAATCCCCCATGTTTTATTTTATTTTTATATATATACTCCCCTTTATTACTTTTCAACCCCACCATCCTTTCCCTACTTGGAGTAAATTATTGAACAACAATGCCCAGGCCTCTACTTCCGGTCTATACTTACTATCTACACCTTATGGACAGAGTTAATTTTACAATAATTATATTATATTATATTATATATATATATATATATATATATATATATTTTGCTCCTGAACTTCTTCTACTCTCAACCTCTCCGATCATTTTCATGATGTCCATCCGGTTTGCTTCTATATGCCATATCTTTCTAACTGTGCTCTTTCCCAAAAGCTCCCAACATACAACCTATATACTTACTATGGACACAGTATGCTTACATTATTAGCTATCTTTGTTATTATTTGTTGTTATTTGTTATTAGTCCCATCCTTCAACTCTATTCAATACCTCCCATCTATCTCTTAGAAATCCTATATGGATGGGGTTATTTGCCATATATATTTCAACCGTACTGTGATGTTTTACAAAAGTTCTGAACCTTTCTATTCTCATTGCTTCTACAGATTGTGAATTAAAAATAAACATTTTTGCTAAAAGTATTATTATATTATTGATTGATTGACTATGACTTTTCAGATCACCCAGTAATGCTATTTGCAAGGTTAGTTCCAGGTAAATATTGCAATCCTTTAGCCATTCCTGGACCTGTGTCCAAAAACAAGCTACAAATGGACAGAACCAAAACAAATGATCTAATGATTCTGTCTCTTCACAGCAAAATCTGCAGAGCTGGGAAGATTGTATCCCCCATATAAATAACATTCTATTGGTCGCAAGAATTTTATATAATAATTTAAATTGAAAGATTCAAATTTTTGAATCCGGTGTTGTTTTGCGTGTCAGTTCATAAACACTATGCCATGGGATCGGTACGTCAAAGATCTCTTCCCAACTATTTTGCAATCTATATGGGACGGCTGTCAATCCTTTGGTCCTTAAGTGAAACTGATATACTTTTTTATTTATCACAGTTTTCCTTAACCAATTATGTTCTTTAATGCAAGGCCGACAGACAAGTTCCTTACTTTATCCCCCTTCCACTTTCCTCTTCCACTTTTGCGGTAAGGCTGCAATTATTTGGTTGTAATTTTGGGTAGAGCCGACATTTCCATATGTTTTTGTTAGCTGCATGTGCGACATAACTCCACCAGTCCTACCGATGATATCATTTACGAAGATTATACATTTGTTAAACATTCTGTCAAAAAATAAAGGTTTTTTGTCAATTAGTATATTTGAATTTAACCACAATATTTGTTGCATTATTTGTTCTGTCGTTTCTGGAGGATTAAATTGAAATTGCAATCAACTTTCTATGGCTTGTTTTAGAAATAGTGACATTTGGGAGATTATTTCCTTTTCAAATAACTGAAAGTGAGAGGTTGGAAACTGAATAAAGGGAAAAAGGCCTTTCTTGAACATTGGGTGAGACAATCTTACTAATTTGCTTGAGAACCAGTTCGGATTTAAGTATAACTTTTGTATGACTGAAGCTTTTAGTGATAGGTCTAATGCTTTAATATTTAATAATTTCTGTCCTCCGAATTCATATTCATTATATAAATATGCTCTTTTAATTTTGTCTGGCTTGCCGTTCCAAATAAAATTGAATATTTTTTTCTCATATAATTTTAAAAAACTGTTCGCTAGGCGTAGGCAAAACCATAAGCAAATAGGTAAACTGGGATAATATTAAATAATTAATCAGGGTGATTTTTCCACAAATTGACAGGTATTTTCCTTTCCATGGTAGTAAGATCTTATCTATTTTTGCTAACTTTCTATTCAAATTTATTGAAGTGAGATCATTTATTTCCTTTGGGATATGTATTCCGAGTATATCCACATCACCATCAGACCATTTTATTGGTAAACTACATGGTAATGTAAAAATTGTATTTTCTAGTGATCCAATACGCAATATAGTACATTTGTCATAATTTGCTTGTAATCCAGAGAGGTTAGAAAATGTATCTAGATCCTCTATGAGGCTGTGGAGGGATTCTAGTTGTGGATTTAAAAGAAAACATGAATCATCAGCGTACAATGACACCTTTGTTTTTAAGCCCTGTATTTCTAATCCTCTGATATTATTATTGGATCTGATTTTAATAGCTAACATCTCGATGGCCACAATAAATAGATATGCCGATAGTGGACAACCTTGTTTCACTCCTCTTGACAGTTTAAAACTTTCTGAGAAATAGCCATTATTTACTATTTTACACCTAGGGTTACTATACATGATTTTGACCCATTTTATAAGAGATTCTCCAAAATTGAAATGCTCCAGGCATTTATATATAGTTAGCTAATATTAGCATACACCCAAACCACTCTGTTGTTTCCTAACAGGCCAAGCAGAGGCAGAAAAGCAGAAAAGCTGCTTTTTAACATCCTTAATTATAATATTTTGGAAGGACATCTATTTAATTATACATTACATGATCAAAAGTATGTGGACACCTGAACATCTCATTTCAAAATCATGGGCATTAATATGGAGTTGGTCCCCCATATGCTGCTATAACAGCCTCCACTCTTTTGGCAAGGCTTTCCACTAGATGTTGGAACATTGCTGCCACAAAACCATTAGTGAGGTCGGGCACTGATGTTGGGCGATTAGGCCTGGCTCGCAGTCGGTGTTCCAATTCATCCCAAAGGTGTTCGATGGGGTTGAGGTCAGGGCTCTGTGCAGGCCAGTCAAGTTCTTCCACACCAATCTCGACAAACCATTTCTGTATGGACCTCGCTTTGTGCACGGGGGCATTGTCATGCTGAAACAAGAAAGGGCCTTCCCCTAACTGTTACCACAAAGTTGGAAGCACAGAATCGTGTAGAATGTAATTGGATACTGTAGCATTAAGATTTCCCTTCACTGGAACTAAGGGGCCTAGCCCGAACCATTGAAAAACAGCCCCAGACCATTATTCCTCCTCCACCAAACTTTACAGTTGTCACTATCTATGCATTCGGGCAGGTAGCGTTCTCCTGGCATCCGCCAAACCCAGATTCGTCCGTCGGACTGCCAGATGGTGAAGTGTGATTCATCACGCCAGAGAACGCGTTTCCACTGCTCCAGAGTCCAATGGCGGCGAGCTTTACACCACTCCAGCCGATGCTTGGCATCGCACATGGTGATGCTAGGCTTGTGTGTGGCTGCTCAGCCATGGAAACCCATTTCATGAAGCTCCCGACGAATAGTGCTGACGTTGCTTCCAGAGGCAGTTTGGAACTCGGTAGTGAGTGTTGCAACCGAGGACAGACGATTTTTAAGCACAACGCGCTTCAGCACTGCGGTCCCGTTCTGTGAGCTTGTGTGGCCTACTACTTTGCGGCTGAGCCGTTGTTGCTCCTAGATGTTTCCACTTCACATTAACAGCACTTACAGTTGACGGGGCAGCTCTAGCAGGGCAGACATTTGACGAACTTGTTGGAAAGGTGGCATCCTATGACGGTGCCATGTTGAAAGTCACTGACCTCTTCAGTACGGGCCATTCTACTGCCAATGTTTGTCTATGGAGATTGCATGGCTGTATGCTCGATTTTATACACCTGTCAGCAACGGGTGTGGCTGAAATAGCCGAAGCCACTAATTTGAAGGGGTGTCCTTTTGGCCATGTAGTGTACTTTAACCCCTGAATGATTTGCTATTTCTAGCATCACTTAATAAACAGATTGACTGCCATGACTAACAATAGACTGACCTGGATGCCACTGTGGATGAATCCCCTGCGGTAGCGGGCAGGTCTGAGGTGGGGGTACTCCTCTGTGCTGGTCACCTTGATGCCCCACACTGACTTCCAGGCCTCATACAGCTGGCTGTGGACAGGGTAGACCCCCGAGTGGTGGGGGGCCACAGCATAGCCCATGTCTGTAGGGATTCCATGCTCCTGGACAGGAAGAGAGAGTGAGAGACAGATGGATGTTAGTAGTGTCTAGGGACAGGAGAGGACACCCAGAACAAATTGCAATAACAAACGTGATGAAATGGCAATTGTATTGAACCATGAATGAGTCACCGTCTGCTTCAAAACAAACACGCAGCAGAAAAAAAGAATGTGCAGCTCCTCCACTGGAGGGCAACATAGCCCTGCTCTGTCCACAGACCACTCCACAAACTGCTAAATAAGAAACAGTCAGGAAGCTCAGCAGGAGCCTACATCCTTTAGAGACTAACAAAAATGCATCCAAAACTCAATGTATGGTGGTACCGTGCCACTGTGCCCCTCGCTGGCAGAACACAGTGTTGGGAATGCATAAGGGACTGGTGTTTGTTCAGCTCAGTTGAGACGGTGTATCCTTGCTAAGGAGAAGCTAAGGAGAGCTGTTTGAAGGACCCTCTCTCCCCTGACCACTCAGAAATTCCGTCCGTCACTGTCAGCCAGCAAGGACAGCTGTATGGCAGCAGGGATTACTGAGAGGGGACGTGGTGTTGGTTGGTATTCACCTCACACACACATCCACTGACACCGTCTGCTCGCTGGGCCCAGGCCCCTGACTCCCAATGCCACTCACTACATCAACAAGGCAGCCTTCGGGGCATCTTTAGCACCAATGTCTGGGAGCCATGTTACAGTGGTTTATTGTGCATCTGAAATGCCAATGTAATCGCGAGCAAGGAAACATCTACAATGTCCAGCATCCAGGAATCCAATTACCACTCACCATCTGGATCAACACGGCCATAACTACAGCATACATCTTACTAGAGAGTTATTGTATGATTAGGATGTTTGGTATCGACAGACTGGAGGCCCACTCACCTGGGCAAACAGCATGTTGAGCCTCATCTGTTCAGCCAGCACACTGACGTTGTGGAACAGGTGGGGCTGCATGTGACTCCACATGTGGGGGAACCACCAGAACTCCTTTCTGTGTCTTAGCAGCATGTCATCTCCCCGGTCCTCCTCATCTGTGCCTGGAGGGGGAGGGAAAGGAAGCAGAGGGGAGGGAGGAGAGGGGAGGGAATGATGGGTACGGGGAGTTTCTCAATGACACTATCCAACTCAAAATCTACAGTGAGATTGTCTAGCACAGGGTATGTTTTGTGTTTTCACTTCGAGATGCTCTCTCACCTGTGTGGTAGAACTTTCCAGAGAAGCCGAGGTTGAAGGTGAAATCAGGGACCAGCGTTCGCAGCTTGTTTTGAGTATTGAGCAAGGCCTGCAAACGACGACATGACAGAGGAATGTGAATTATATTCACAATTGCAGTTATTAGCTTTAAAAACTATAATGTTGTTTTTATTATTGTTTTCTTAACCACTAGATGGTGAAATAACTCTTGGACATAACAAAATGCAGATGCATCATTCAAGTCAAGAATGCAGACAGTGGGAGGACATGGAATAAAAACAGAACCATATCTACGGTTGCCACAAGGGTGAAAGAATGAGCACATGTTGGGATTATTGTACATTTTGGAATGGGATTGCAAAGCAAACCCACAGAGTCCTGTTCAACAAATTCCCCAAACCTTCACACTTTATCAGCTATATCAGATGATTACAGCAGCATCCGTACACAACTCATAGGATGGAAAAGAGATAGCTACTCTGCCTCCACAAATCAACCCAGAGCTGCACTTTACCTCGGAGAGAGCGATAGCGGCTGTACCTGATAAGAGATGCAATCGCTGACTTATTTAAAGGGGGACTGATGTCCTTGAGCATGTGTGCACACACTTTGTTTTCCTTGCCGATTAGGATGAGTGTGTGTGAGTGTTTGGGTTGTCTGTGTGTGTGTGTGCGGTCTGTGTGTGTGTGTGTGTGTGCGGTCTGTGTGTGTGTGTGTGCGGTCTGTGTGTGTGTGTGCGCAATATGATCCATGTCTCAGTATTGGCTGCCTAGGACCTGAGGTTTGCTGATGGAGAGACAAGAGCGTCCCCACAGACACATCAAGCGATAATTCATGTCTGATGACATGCAGTGATCAGTAACTGAACTGTCTCTTCCAGCACCACAACAACCGATCGTCTTTCAAAAGGCCTTCAGTGTTACTGAGAAGAAGGGAGAGAGGGGCTACTGGACAGGGGGATGTGGTATGGAGCAAATGCCTAGTTGATGTCCTGTGGGCCCACACTTACCTTTGTGCCAGCCTGGTAAAGAGGGGTCAGGGTAAGGAGGGCTGGGGTGGGCAGAAGGGCAGACAGACAGAGGGGTGGGGGCATAAGGGTCGGTCAGGTGCCCTAGTTAGTCAGTCACCATGGCAACTGATCTTCACCGTCTGTGCCGAGTACAGAGAGCCGACAAGGAGGTGAGAAGAGCTCTTTGTATTTCCTCTTCGATTGCCTTATCAAATGGATGCCTACAGATCACTGACCTCAATATCCTTTAATTTTTCCATGTCTTTAGAAACAAAATCGAAGGACATTGTGAATGCCCGGGCTGGCTTAAAAGCCTCACCCTGCAGTGATGATCTGACTCAAGCCTCTGGGCATTGACTGACCATACCCTAGACCAGTGGTTCCCAAACTGTGGGGTGCGCCCCAGGGGTCGACGGGGGTACGGGGATCCCCCCCCCCCAGAATGCACAAAGTGCAATTTCGAAATTGGGTGGTGCATTATCAGTCATGTTAGTCATTGCATACCTTAGAGAGCTATTTATAACTTGTCAGAAATGTCAGCTAACGTTTTTATATATATATATATATATTTTTGCCCATAGATATTGTTGTAATTTTTTTGTCACTCAAATATCACATGATTACACATTAGACACGCCAAAATGTATGGAATTGCAAGACAATTTGCTTTAAAACTGTAATATTTTCTTTGCACCCCATGACAAAATGTGTACAATTGCAGGAAATAAGCTTTAAACCTGCACCAACAAGAGGAGTGTGAACAGTTTGTCATAAACAGTGCTTGTGCCCATAGAAATAGTGGTGTTCCCCAATGCTGGAAGGGGGGCCCCAGAGTGAAAAGGTTTGGGAACCCCTGTCCTATGCCATCAACATGTCCAGGACTCCTACCTGGCCCAGGCCTGCATTATAGGAGGAGGATGAGAGAACATGGTCAATGACAAACATCAGCTGCCATTTACCTATGGACAGAGATATAGAAATGCCTGTTTGAGATGCTAAAGTGAGCGAGTACCCATCCAACCAGAGTGATTATGGCAGCACTCCAAGGGCACTGCATGTTAATTCAACCATCTAAAGCAAGTAGAATATAGTGGAGATGCAGGAGTCAACCGTATCTAACATACCATAGAAAAGTGAACGTGGGTATGCATGTATGTGCGTGGTCTGTGTGTGTGTGTGTGTGTGTGTGTGTGGAAATCAGCTTTAGTGCTTAAGAGTCAGTGCAGTGTTGAGGCTGCACCCAGAGTGAGAATAATAAACAAGATTAGTGGTCCATTAGCCATGCCTTGTTTGTGCCCTGCTACTCGCCTCACAACTGCTTGAGGTGATTAAAGCTGCTTTGCTCAACCAGAGGCCAGGTGGTAGTGGTAGTTAGACAACACTGAGGTAAATAAAGTCGAGCCTACATGGCAACGACCACAATGTTTTACACCATGTCAGGGCAGGCGGAAAAAAAATGCAATTTAACCACTTTGTCACACCTCAAATGTTAATAGGATCAACATGGTCGTTTGCAATGAACTACAGGTGAGTAACATGGTCCCTGAAGAGCCATTCATGTTTAACATGCTTTTTACACCCACTTTAGTAGAGAATTTAGGTGATTTCACTTCAAATGGCAATAGCTTAATGCTGCACAAGACAACTGTCCGGATCAATATACTGTGGTGGAAAATAGTTTTTTTTTGTTGCTAGGTAGCATTGGCTTTCGCTAGTCGGCTGTACCTGCGCTAAAACGCTGGTATTTTTCATCCTATAGCTTGTTCTCCATCTTCTTTGTAAATAGTGAGCCAACATGTTTTCAGCACTTATTTACATGACTGATCAAAACTAATTTTCTAATGCTCGATTCTGTCTCTCTGCAGCAGACAAATAGTGAGCAATATGTTTGGAACATCAAATCACAAAATCCCAGTATCGAATCGCAATACATGTAGAATAGTGAGAATCGCAATATATACTGCTCAAAAAAATAAAGGGAACACTTAAACAACACAATGTAATCCCAAGTCAATCACACTTCTGTGAAATCAAACTGTCCACTTAGGAAGCAACACTGATTGACAATACATTTCACATGCTGTTGTGCAAATGGAATAGACAACAGGTGGAAATTATAGGCAATTAGCAAGACACCCCCAATAAAGGACTGGTTTTGCAGGTGGTGACCACAGACCACTTCTCAGTTCCTATGCTTCCTGGCTGATGTTTTGGTCACTTTTGAATGCTGGCGGTGCTTTCACTCTAGTGGTAGCATGAGACGGAGTCTACAACCCACACAAGTGGCTCAGGTAGTGCAGCTCATCCAGGATGGCACATCAATGGGAGCTGTGGCAAGAAGGTTTGCTGTGTCTGTCAGCGTAGTGTCCAGAGCATGGAGGCGCTACCAGGAGACAGGCCAGTACATCAGGAGATGTGGAGGAGGCCATAGGAGGGCAACAACCCAGCAGCAGGACTGCTACCTCCGCCTTTGTGCAAGGAGGAGCAGGAGGAGCACTGCCAGAGCCCTGCAAAATGACCTCCAGCAGACCACAAATGTGCATGTGTCTGCTCAAACGGTCAGAAAAAGACTCCATGAGGGTGGTATGAGGGCCCGACGTCCACAGGTGGGGGTTGTGCTTACAGCCCAACACCGTGCAGGACGTTTGGCATTTGCCAGCGAACACCAAGATTGGCAAATTCGCCACTGGCGCCCTGTGCTCTTCACAGATGAAAGCAGGTTCACACTGAGCACGTGACAGAGTCTGGAGACGCCGTGGAGAACGTTCTGCTGCCTGCAACATCCTCCAGCATGACCGGTTTGGCGGTGGGTCAGTCATGGTGTGGGGTGGCATTTCTTTGGGGGGCCGCACAGCCCTCCTTGTGCTCGCCAGAGGTAGCCTGACTGCCATTAGGTACCGAGATGAGATCCTCAGACCCCTTGTGAGACCATATGCTGGTACGGTTGGCCCTGGGTTCTCCTAATGCAAGACAATGCTAGACCTCATGTGGCTGGAGTGTGTCAGCAGTTCCTGCAAGAGGAAGGCATTGATGCTATGGACTGGCCCGCCCGTTCCCCAGACCTGAATCCAATTGAGCACATCTGGGACATCATGTCTCGCTCCATCCACCAACGCCACGTTGCACCACAGACTGTCCAGGAGTTGGCGGATGCTTTAGTCCAGGTCTGGGAGGAGATCCCTCAGGAGACCATCCGCCACCTCATCAGGAGCATGCCCAGGCGTTGTAGGGAGGTCATACAGGCACGTGGAGGCCACACACACTACTGAGCCTCATTTTGACTTGTTTTAAGGACATTACATCAAAGTTGGATCAGCCTGTAGTATGGTTTTCCACTTTAATTTTGAGGGTGACTCCAAATCCAGACCTCCATGGGTTGATAAATTTGATTTCCATTGATAATTTGTGTGATTTTGTTGTCAGCACATTCAGCTATGTAAAGAAAAAAGTATTTAATAAGATTATTTCATTCATTCAGATCTAGGATGTGTTATTTTAGTGTTCCCTTTATTTTTTTGAGCAGTGTATAACGTATTGGCACTTAAGTATTGTGATATTATCATGAGGTCCCTGGCAATTCCCAGCCCTTGTGAAAACATTATTTGAAAAGTCATCTAATATATTTCAGCATCTTTAACACATTAGAAAGCGGTAAGAGGTTCCATTGACTTGATTCTCTAGAGACCAAGCAGGCTAATTCCTTTCAGGGAGGACCACTTCTGTTCAGAAGATTGAGGTGAAAAAATCTAAATGGGCCATTCTTCTGACTACACTTCCTTGGCTGTTCTATTCTGTGCTCCACAATGAATACATATCCCTGTAATGTAATGTTGTTTTCTCTGTTAAGCGATGGCCTCAAGAGCATGCATGTACCTGTCTTGGCTGCCTGAAACATCAAATGGTCTATTAGTCATACAATTTCCACAAGAGCAATTAACCCGAAACGTCTCATCGGTGGTGTGATGACTAAACACTGTGGCGGTGCCAACAGTACTTTTCTCCCTCCATATGCCCTTACTTATGCAACCGCCTGGTTCAAACCTTGTCAGGCTGAATTGATGACAGGCTCATTAACTTGCTGATTGACTCATGGGAGCACTCCACCTCGCCCGCCCCCTTTCACTCCCGGGGAAGGCGACACGCTCGGAGCGACCAGGTCCCTTTTTGCTGAAGCGACAAGTTCGCCCCCTTGTCCCGCTACCTATTACTCTCTAAACTACATCCCTGTTGTCAGTGCAAAAGCCTAATTAATCCTCCTAATATTTCCCATTAATTGTGTTAATTTAGTTTGATGCATTTGTCAGAGTGGCCCTCCAGGCGACGTGGCTCGCTTTTCTGCATTGCAAACTGCTGACGCGGGTTAAGTGTGTTCAGCTATAGAGAGGGTAGAGAAAACCCATTATGAGAGCTGTGATGTACTGGAGACTCTCACGCATCTGTTTTTGTCACTTCAAATGAGGCTTTGGTTAAGACTGGAAAAGGCTTAAAGTCGTCCAGTGGTGGTTTTCTCAAAGTGAAGTGAACACAAGTAAAATCAGGCCTATTAGACACAGTAGCATGCTAACAACCAGATAAAATACTTAAGAGACTAATGGCAGAACACACAAATCCTGTTGAGATTCATCCTAATAAATGCTAGCCTTTGTTAGGCCTTGCCTTAGAAGCAAGTCACACATTATGGAGAATCCCATTGGAAATCAATATGTGTCCCATGATGCGCGGAGTAGGAAAGAAGCACTTTCCTAAAGACTAAGTGGTAAATCACAAGGTTGCTTTAACAGAAACATCTATACTTGTTAAGGTAACAGGCTGAATAATCGTCCTCTTTGGAATAGCCTATTTAGTTTTTATGCGTCCTTAATAATACATCTTTATACAATCTTAATTACCACTGACAGTGTACCTACAGTAGGCAGAGTAATTGAGCCACACATACAGGCCTACTGTGACAGCAGTGAGGGAGTGTGTGAGAGAAAGAAAGAGAGAGTGTGAACCCACCTCTACGTCGGTCACCTTCATGCGGGTGCCCTCCTTGCCCACAAAGATATCATCCACGTCCACCAGCAAGTGGCGCTCCAGCGAGAGGCAGAGCCGCTTGCCCGTCAGGTAGGCGATGGCATCCACAAACACCAGCTTGTGCAGCCAGTAGGACAGGTTGTTTCCAAACAGGACCCTCTGGATGCCGTCGTGGAGCCCCAGGTCCTGGACCACAGTGGCGTGCATAGCACTGAGCGGCCCCAGGTGGGCCAGGGCGTCAGAGGACTTGGTGCTGGCCAGGAGGACAGGCTCGTAAGTGGAGTGGTTGGACTGGAACACGGTCCAGTCGTCCCCGGGCAGGGGGCCCTGCTCCACCTCGTTTGGTCTGGTGATGTAGAGCAGAGGTGCGTTGTGGTTGATGCGGTAGTCCCTCAGGCCCAGGTGGGAGTGCAGGAAGAGCGGGAAGCCCTTAAGCTGGGCGCTGAGCAGTGAGTTCTCATTGGCCTTGAAGAAGCCGATGATGCCTACACTGTACTCCACACAGTACTTGTCCAGCAGGTCGCGGTTCCAGGCGTCCAGGTTGACGTACTTCAGCAAATTCTCGTAGATGACCAGGGCGTAGCGGCCGCGGTTGCGCTCCGTCAGCGTGGGCATGTCTCCCTTCCCCGGGGCGATCTCGGTGCGGTAGCTGAAGCGGCTGGACTCAAGGATGGCTACGATCTCCTGGCCCAGCTGAGAGTAGATGCTCTCTACAAACACCAGCACCACTGGGTCCGTACGAGAGTTGTCCATGGCCTTCACCTGGCGCAGCCGACCCGAGTGAGGCAGGAAGAGGGGCGCCTGCTGCCCACCTCCACCTCCTACAGCCGCCGGCACCCCCCGACAGTCACCGAAGGGCAGCGGGGGGGCCTCCTTGATCTTGGGGCTGTTGCTGACGTAGTAGGCCAGGAAGGCCATGGAGAGGAGGCAGAAGACGATGAGCGCCAAGATGAGGCGATGGAGCTCCAGTTGCCTGACGCCCCGCACCAGCTTCCACAGGCTGGCCACCATGGCTGCAGCACGACAGGGGCAGTGCCGGGGCAGAGCAGAAGGCAGTGCCAGGGACGAACAGCAATGGGGCACAGCAGGGGGCAGGGACACAGGAGGAGGAGGAGGAGAGAAAGGGGGAGGAGTAGGGTTGAGCAGCAGACACTGGCACCAAGCTGTGCTGAGGAATAGCCATTTACGCTAGGTCACCATGGCCCCCATAGCCCATGAGTCTCCCTCCGGCTGTGGCCCTGCTCGCCTCTCCACCTCTCTGGATGCACAACGCGCTGCCTGTCTGGCTGCTCTGAATCAGTCTGGGCTGGTCTCTGGGATCCCTCTACTTCTGCACTCTCCTACCTCTCTCTCTCTCTCTCTCTCTCTCTCTCTGGCTCCCAGGCACGCCCGTCCTCAGCTCTCAGCTCTGCTACCTAAGAGGATTGGGTTTCTCCCGCTGCGTTCCTCACACTACTCCTCCTCCTTCTCCGCTCGCTCCCCTCCTCTCAGCGGATCAGCAGTTTCTCTCCTCTCTCGTTTCCCTGTCACTGAACACCACACAGTTCCCTCGTAAACACGGCCGTTATCAGGAGATGCTGGTTGTATCTTGGCCCGATCGTGGGTGTGTAACTCCTGCTCTCAGGTTGTGTGTGTGGCTGTTCTTCTGTGGTTCAGCAGAGTCTCGGCTGGGGGTCGGCGGGGCTGGGGCTCACCCCTCAACACTGCCCCCTGTGGAGGCCCAACCTGCTCATCTTGGAGGCGGCAGAGAGGAACACGCCTGAGGGAGGGGCAGAGAGAGAGAGAGTAGGATTAGTGCACGTCAGATCATACTCCATGTTCTTGTAACCAAAATGAGTCCTCAGGATGTCTTTCTCATGACAACGCAAAACAGAAATAGAAGGCAAACAAAGACAATTCAATTAAAAGTAAAATAAATGTTAACTTGACATTTGTCTTGGACATACAATAATAATTTTTTTGCACTTTGCAAAACTGCTCAGCTAACAGCATCATAAAACAAAAGGCAGCTATAAAACCTTGCTGGTGAAACTGCCTGTCAGACTGAGTTGTTCCCTGTGGGTACACAGTGTCTCTGTGCCGACAGTGGCCAAAACCCTACAGAGAAGGAGTCAGAACACAACCATGCGGCAGGGTCAGATTTGATGATGCTTCCATATGGTCTAAAGATTGCAGCCTTATGGTTTTTCCATCAGGTCCCCTCCCCAAACTCAAAACCAGGCCATCCCCAAAGCCCTCTGTGTGTCATGAGCACTTTTTCTCATGGAGCCCAAAATAGCTGCGCCATAACCTCCACGTGCTCCATTCCTCCTCAAAGATAGCGTTACAGGTGTGGAAGGAAAACTCTGACCTTAAATGTGAATTATTATATGGCTGTGTGGGTGGCTGGGGGTACGGGGGTTCACGATCTCAAATGTGGGCCAATGCTGCAGAGCCATTAAGATTTTGTTTACGGTTGTGGCAATTCCCACACAGATGCAGGTACGGCGGGGGTCAGGGAACTCAATGTCGTGAGAGCTGCGCACTGTCAGTGTGTTAGTAAACTGGGAAATATCTCCAGCACAACACCTGCCTTACATGGGAGCCAGTGGAAAATTAAGACAATGCATTCCACCTGCAGTGGGCTGGGTTGATTCCACTGAGCCCTCTGGGACCGGACCAGGTCACGAGACTAGCTCAGTGGCTCTATGACTATGATACAGCAGCAGTGAAACAGTGTCTCAGTCCCTGCAGGCTGGCTGGATCATTTATCACTATGGGGGAACTGGAGGAGGCCAACATGGCGCTACAGTGCAAATATGTGGTTAACTGCAAAGAGCAAAACAAGCAGTCCATACCAGCTCGTTAGAAGAAAAAAAACAGACAAATCGAGTCCCAAGCCCATACAGACACTCACCGCACGGCATCATAAACAGGATACCGCTTTCTATCAAAGTTTCCCTGACATGATCAATGTCAACCGTGCCGCCATGCTACATTTCCTGGGAAAGCACTTAAAGGATCATTTTTCTCTCAGAAGTACTAACTAAGCCTCGGCTTTAGCAAAGGCACCTTGACAGAGAGAAACAGAGGGAGATGAACACACACACACACACAGCGACAGACAGACAGATAGAGACAGACAGACAGACAGATAGAGACACAGACAGACAGATAGAGACACGCAGACAGTGACAGACAGAGACACACAGACAGCGAGCGACAGACAGACAGACAGACAGACAAACACACAGACAGCGACAGACAGACACACAGACAGCGACAGACAGATAGACAGAGATAGAGACAGACAGAGACACACAGACAGCGACAGACAGACAGAGATAGAGACAGACAGACAGAGACACACAGACAGCGACAGACAGACAGAGATAGAGACAGACAGACAGACATAGAGACAGACAGAGACACTCAGACAGCGACAGACAGACAGACAGACAGACAGACAGACAGACAGACAGACAGACAGACAGACGACTACAATACAGACTGGACAATGAGGAGTGAGAAAGAGAAAGATGAGCAAGAACATCAGCCAGGCTAGAGAAAGGTCTTGACCAAGACCCCCCTGAGGAACCCTCATGGTGCTTCCGCTCAAACCTCCCAGAACCACTCAAAGACGTGGCGCCCTGGAGCGGACCTCCTCCCTCACCGCAGATCCAATCCATCATCCTCTGTGAACAGGGGGGGGGGGGGCATTGGGAGACAAATCACAACACACAGGGTCCTCCACCTCCTCCCACAGGGGCACAGAAGCTAGGTGGATAGGTGGGGAGGAGGCACAGGGTAGAGAGGGCTACTGAAGGAAAGGCATCCTGTAGCTCAGTTGGTAGAGCATGGCGCTTGCAACGCCTGGGTTGTGGGTTTGGCTTTTAACGACTAGGCTAAGGCTCTGACAGACTTGAATGAGACTCTGGGGGTGGGCGGTAAACAGAGGTAAATAATGGGTGGTAGGTTTGAGGTGGTGTTAAGACAGGAGGAAGCAGAGAGGTCTCACCTGAAAACTGGTGTGTCGGTCTTATCTGACGAGGTCGGTCAGGCAGGGAGACCTGTGAGGGAGAGAGCAGAGAGAATACGTGAATGCAGTGCTGAGATTTTCCCGTCTAAAGAGTGGGTGTTCAGTGTATCTACATCTACTTATGCCCAGGCATACTCCCATTCCACACATACGGGCCTTTGGGTAAGAGAGAGCAAGACGGAAAGAGACAGGGTTGTTTTCAGGGTCAAACACTCAGAGTCCCACAGGGCTCCCAGTCCCAGTGAATCTGACAGATTTTACAGCTGACATTTAAGACAGAAACCGGCCCCGAGACCAGGGCCAGGACGATTAAGCCCAACGATGTGGAGGAGAGGGAAGTCAGCTGGTCACTGACCATTTCACACCAAGGCCGATCCGATTCATCTAGCTTCCTGCTCCTCTCCTCCTGCATCTCCTTGTATAATAGTTTATAGAGAACGCTCCCCTCCAGCTCCCTCCTGTCAGTAGTTAGTAGTAGTGGCCCTGGGGCTATGGCCCTGAGCAGCTTATGAAGCCTAAACGCTCGGGCTGCTGACAGCTGGAGGAGCAGGCTTTGACCGCTTTAGGCCCCCCTCCTCACCCCGAGCCAGTCTGGCTACACAGGGGAGGGAGGACTAAACAGACCCCCACCCTGATGCCGACTGGATCAGCAGACACACACACATGCGGAAGCTGGGGTGGCATGTGAGGGGCGGGCAGGGTTCGCTCTTTAAGGTGTGTGCGCACACACTGAATGTACAAAACATTAAGAACACCCGCTCTTTTCATGACATAGACTGACCAGGTGAAAGCTATGATCCCTTATTGATGTCACTTGTTAAATCCACTTCAATCAGTGTAGATGAAGGGGAGGAGACAGGTTAAAGAAGGATTGTTAAGCCTTGAGAATGCTGTGGAATGCTTTTGACACCTTGTAGAGTCCATGCCCTGACAAATTGAGGCTGTTCTAAGGTCAAAAGAGGAGGAAGGTGTTCTTAATGTTTTGTACACTCAGTGTGTGTGTGTGTGTGTGTGTGTGTGTGTGATTCCGCGAGAATGAGAGAACAAGAGAGTATATTGGGAATCAAAAACAAACAATTGAACAACCTCTTCCTAAACGAGCGGCCATCTGGAACATAAATCCCACAGACAGATTTTTCCCTGAAAGAAAGGTAAGCCTTTCTCTCTCAAACCCTCTCCTTCATTTAACTCCTTTCTGACTATAGAAGCCACAGTATATAAAATGGCATGCAGATAATGAGTGGAAATTAGGGGAATCAGACGACCTCTATCACAGGACCAGATGGGTTCCCGGGTTGGAAAGTCCCTGATAACACTTCAATCACACAGACCAAACAAGACAGTTGCCAGACAGATGCCCTGTCATTAACTGTGTTAGTTAAATTATTTCATTTTCTTTAGTCTATATTTGGAAAGAGTGCAGCCATGTGTTTCTAGAGGAGGAGAGACACCACAGGGTAGCATAGGGCAGAGGGAATTACAGATCTAACGATAACTGAGGTTATCAGAAAGAGGGTTCAAGAATGCTGCAAGATTGCATGATAACGAATAGGGCTCCATCTTATGCACACACACAGCCACACAACACAAATCATTTATTGACAACCAATCTCTTAAGGACCAGCATGCATCCTGTCCACGCCACTCGACTGACCCCTGACTTGAGGCTATGGTATACCAGAGGGCCTGGTGGGAGGCTGTTGTTTCGGCTGGTGCCTCACATTCCACCCAGGAGTTGACCTAAGGCACAGGTCTAGGATCAGATTACCCTACCCCCAATCATAACTTTAACCATTAGGGGGGAAATGCAATGCTGGCCTTAGATCATTGTCTGGAAAGGCAACTTCATCCTTCCATGCCAGTATATACAGTGCAAGAACCCACCAACAGGGGGAGATAGACCCGCAGCAGTAACACAGTGCCTGGGCTCCTTTGACGCAACAGGAGAGAGGGGCAGGGGACTGTTGCTTTGGCCCCCAGGGGTCACTTACTCATTCACCCACAGGTGTGCTGCCTCATGGTCAGTCTGAACTATGACCTCTCCATCCAACACTTACAGTGACTAGAGGGTGTAGAGAGGAGTTCTAATAGAGAAAGGTCAGAAGAGCTCAGCCTCAAACTGCATTATGTGAGGACCAATGGCAAGACTGAGTGCAACAGGAAGTGTTGGTGGGAGGCTGCTGCTCTTGGAGACTCTGGATTAAACAATTAACTAATTTGACTGGATAGGTGAACATGAATGTTTAGCTTAAATTATCTCCATTCTAAATGTTATGCTACTTGTGCGAATCGAATCAGCT